ATATTATTAACAGTCCCTTATGGAATTAAATAACTGATAAACTTTGATCACATTTATGCAAAAATCCACAACTGCCATAAAACTGTTCTGTCATCTGCATTACCCACAATAGCCTAATACATCCAGAGATGTTAAATGCAAAGCAACCCCTTATAAATGAGACGGTAAAATGTATATCATCACGGATTAATATATTTCCCTTTCACCCACCCGTAAGTCCTGTAATAAAAATGCTGCAGTTAGTGTTCGACAACACCGAACAGGACTTGCTATGGTTTGTGAGTGCTTCTCGGCATACTCCACATCTCTACATGTTGCTTTTTAAAATCCTTCCTTCATTTTGTCCTTTCACACAAAAATCATTGGAGCGAGAGAGATGCAACAAAACCGTGGACTACTAAGCTGAACAACACCGGCAGTAACACCGGTAACCCTGGACACTCATCTTCCTCAAGCAATTTCTCCTCATTGATGTAATGGATGTGTCCCTGACGGGGCTTTTTTTGCACGTTTCCTCAGGGCAGGCTGCTGTTGTGCTCTTAACGGCAGCACACAGCCTCCAGAGGCTATAGATCACAGCAGCCTTGGAGCAGCCTTTCAGGCCTAATGTTCTGTGAGCACCGGGAGTATTGATTCACTGTGTCACGTATGATTATAAACACAGATTAATAGACAGTAAGTTTTCAGCTCCAGGCAAGGAAAAATGTTAGATGAATGATATTTTTCTGCAGTGTTTTGGCTCCATGTTTTGGTTGTATAATAGAGATATGACAGCTCAAACTTCGATATATATAGAATATAGTTAGTTGCGCTTTCAATCTGTCCCCGAGGAGAAATCTATCTGTTGCTTTTCCTATGGAGTAAAGACCAAGTCAACTTTCCCCAAAGTATTTCACTGCTGTTGTTAAATAATTATGTGGCATTTTTACAGCCTATGTTAATGAAGGCTTCAATTTGTCATTTTCCAGTTTAACACAATATTTTCATTGCAATTTTCCGTTGTCATAAAGTAGATGTAATTCCAGTTCATTGTTGCCATATGTGTCTAAGGCTGTTAATGATACCTACCTGTGGAGATGTGTAGTGCTGTGGGAGTGTGCCTTGTCAGCATTCTGTACGCTGGGATTTGGATGAGCTTATGTGTCTTGTGTCTGATAATACCCGAAGCGACCTTTGAGCGTTGGGGTCAGGGATGAGCAATCTCCCTTGTGAAATATTCAAACACTAAATATTGTCAAGCGAGCTCAATCCCGTTGTCTTATAGAACCAGGCGAGGCTTTCTGGCTCAGTCTTGTGCCGAAGGTTAGAAACCCAAAAGGCATCACATCATTTAGCTTTTTTAATTCGTTCACTGTCGGCGCTACTGTGAAATTCCATTTAGATAGTGTTTCAAATTCTTCTCACATTATGTTGTGTCAATTTAAATGCATGAGAGGATATAATAGAAATTTGAACATTATGGTTTTTGTCTTCCTAGTGAGGAATAATTACTGTGCACCACAGAAAATGGTTAAATTCTTCAGGGCTTTACATTTTAGGATTATGACATTTTCCCCGTAAAACATCTTAACTCATCTTTTTGCCCCAGTGTTGCTTAAGCTTTTCCTCATACTTTTGTTCTAATACTGTCTTTTTTATCATCTCTCTCTGCTGAGTACATAAAGTAAGCAATTAACCAAAAAATCCCCCTCAGTATCAATTCATGGGGCTTTGAATGGCTGTATTTTAATCTGCACCACAAACCCCAATCAAAACTATAGCTCTCCTCCCCTAACAAAGACCAAAAACCTTTTAGTGGTTGAGAATAGGTGGAAACACTGAACACTACAGTGGCCTTTTTGTTCTGCAAGGACTACTCTGATAGCCAATCACCTCTCAAAGTTAGCCTGCTCTTTTAAACGCAATTCATGGCTTGATAATTACAGTGTGTTTCCAGCCATTGTAAATTATTGTTAGTGGTATCTATACAGGTTTTTTCTCAGTCTCTCAGAATGATACACAGCACACATAGCCATGTTATTGCGCTCAGCAGGACTGCGTTTCAGGGCGCTATGACTCCACAGTAGCGTGGTGATGTGACTTTCCGGCACGATGACTGATACAGGAATGAATATGTCTGCTGCCTGCATGACGGATTGAATGCCAGTGTAATTAAAGGTTGGCGGAGGGTGGGCAATGATGAGCTGTCTGCACACCAATGATAGTTGCCTCCTATGTCTGCTTGTATACCGTCTCTGACTCCCACTGAGTGTTTCTCACCTCTCTACATCATGTCTCATACATGTCATCTGCAACCCTCAGCTAAGTGTTAATAGTTAGGGAGGGCAGATGTGTCAGACGTTTGAATACCCTCTATGACTTCCTGCCATACCTTGGGTTGTTTCTGCAGTCACATACTCTTAATGTATTCTCATTAATAACTAGTGGGTGTTTTCCCTTGTGATGCTGTTAAGGCTGTGTTTTTCCCCTGTCTTTTTCATTTTTAAAGGATTTATAATAACACTTCCCAGTCCAACTGAAATAAAAATGCATATCTTTTTGCTACATTAATATTTATCTACTCTGCTCTAAATAAAAGTGCAACATAGTTAATAAGCTAGGACAGCTTCCTCTACTTGGGGTTCTCCGTCCCCTCAAAGGTCAGCACTGTCAAGTTGGCTTGCTATTGGAAAACGGCTCCTGTCAAAGTTCACCTGAGAAAATGCACAGGCAGAACTAATAACATTAATAATTGCTTGGTTCCATTAGGTGCACCAATAAGAGTTTCCAGTGAGCCAGCATGCACAATACCAGGACCTTCTCTAAGTGGAATGCAGACATTAATGTTATTCGTATCACCTTTCCTTTTCCTGCTATGACATGTCAAAATGTCTGCAAAAGGTCTATTAAAGTAGGTCTTTACTTTATCCATGAGATAAAACAATATAAGTATAGAACTAGAAAGTGGCCTACCTTATTTTTAAGGTAGGTAATTTGCTGTCGTCACAACAGATAATTTGATTGAGAGATGAACATATGAAATAACTGTAAAAGACGTTTGCAATTGTTTTGGCAACGGTTGAGATCACAGTCAGTAGCCTGTCCTCCCTGGTGTGGTCAGTTAGTTTACAGATAGCCCTGCACAGCTTGGCCTCATCATTTCCATAACCTTTAACCTGTCCCAGCAGAGGTTCAACCAGGCAGAAATGAGGTGGCAGAGCCCTCTGCTCAGCATATACCTCCCTAGAACACATTCACATACTTTACAGCCTCAACACAGACGCAATGACAGGGTGTTTTCACCTTGAAATACAATGGACCCTGGCTAATCAAAAACCCCTTGGGAATGGGAGGTTATTTAAACCAGTGAAACAGTGAGATGGCTGAAGTATGTTGAAGTAACGAGGTATAGACACACATATCCAAACACATTGTAATAACAATTAAGGTACATTGTTAATTTCTTTTTTTCAACTGCTCATTTAAGAGTGGTGAAATTTTAAACAACGGCTCCCCAAACCAGGCCATATGTTACAGCCATAAATGTATGTATTGACACATTTATACAAACTGTAGACACACTGGAATAGATTGTCTGTGAATTAGCCTCACAGCCAGCAGCTTCATCCTCTCTCTCTCTCTCTCTCTCTCTCTCTCTCTCTCTCTCTCTCTCTCTCTCTCTCTCATTATTGTTGGTGCTAAGTAAAGCAACCTTAGAGCGATCTAGAATGAGCCTGCCTGCTGTCCAATCGCCAAATTAAAGACAGAGGAAAAGGTCAGCTTAATAACACCTAAACCGTTATCGACAGGTCAGGACGATGAAGGAGGGGAGAAGGGTGCGGAAGGTCATTGATCTTGATAAATACCATACGGTCTTGAAATTGAATCTTTCAAAATATGCATATTAGGAGGGAAGCTGAGATCATCCTTAAGGAAGAATGGTTGTGCAGATGGTATTGTTCTGAAGGCACCTGAGGGTGGATGCCAACTGCTGTACTCATTGACGAGGTTAATGGTTAAACAAGTAAACACGTTTAGTTTCAACACTCCATTTGTACGTACGCAGGAGATGCTGTCACGCCTTTATCTGGTATGAAATCCAACATTTATAGCCTCAGAAGGATGTATAAGATCAGCAGAATCACTTTTAGTTTGAAGCTTTCAGATCAAAAATGGGATCTGAAGCCCTCTTAAAGAGGAAATAATTTCTGTTGTAATGCTATGTTATCTGCTCTACAGAACCACTCTCTGGTACAATGAGGATATGGGTGCCTCCAATAATAATAATAATGGTAATTTTTATAGAATTTCATGCTTTACACATGGAGGTGAAACATTTACAAAAGGAGCTGGAGGAAGAGCAGTGGAAAAGGGACCTTGATGATTTTAAAAGAGATATTTGCTCTTTCTTCTTCTTGAACTCTGTAGAGAAGTTACTGAGTGAGAAGAGAAAAAAAAGTTGAGTAGATGAGCCTCAGTCACTGGAGCTCACAGACGTCCTTGATCATCGTCATTAGCTGAATGTATAGAGCACAAAAATGGGTCAGAGGAGATAATGGAATCACATAAATGGATGGATTTTATTTGAGAGGCGAAGAAAAGGGGAAAAGGTGTGAAAGATTAAAAAGCAACTGATCTAAAATAAGGTGTAAAGGAGTAAAACATTAGCCAAGAATTGTAAAATAATGGAACAGGTATGCATCATTATTAATACAATGTCATTGTGCATTTATTATTTTATTATTGCTTTGAAGTGCAGATCACAACTGCCGTGATTTGTAGGAGAGATTCTTATTTGCAACGTGTCTGAAAGTTTGGGAGTGCAAGCCGAATTGACATCGTGTCAGGAGGAATCACCTGGCAGGCCTGCTATATCTACGCAGCAGTAAACACACAGTATGACCCCAACATATTAGATCAACGTGGCTGTGTGAATACGAATAAGAAGTTTTGATGACAGAATAAACATTTGATTCATCTGATCTGAAATGACATTCATTGTAAATTTCTTTTCCCTGCAGATCCATCAGTGCACCACAGACAGAAGACAGTGGTGACGGACATGTGCTACCCGACAGAGATATCCAGCCTGATGGACTTTGGCACTCCAGACTGCTCGCTAGGCAAAGGTACGGCTTTACTCGAAAATACAAGGTGTTGCCTTGGTGACAGCAGGAAGTGTGCACCGTGATTTATCCTGGCAGTTAAAAGACACAGAGCTGTCAGCTTGACTGGGAGGTTGACAATGGAGCAAAGGCCTGTGCAGGCTAAGAGTATGAGAACAATCAGATAACAGCGCTTGGTACCCGGCCTCAAGGGCCTTACAGTTCCCTGCAGGCTTTGATTTATCACAGCTAAATAACATGTTTTGTCACCCAATACAGACTGCAGAGGCACAAGACAGTGAGCCTTCATAAACGTCTTACCAGAGAAAATCCATTTACTTTTCAAATTGTTTAAATCTGAATGCAGTGATATTGACACTTACCACACTGGAGTTGTATTGTAATGTGCAATTGTTGCATCGCAGCAAGGCCACTTATTTTCTCCAATCACTGTCATCAGTTTGTTTTGTAGAGAGGCCTGTCTGGCTCAGGATAATAGTCTCTCTGAGTGGTAATCAAACTGACCACTCTGTAACAATACGCACCACAAAGGGTATTGATCATAAAGTCTATTGATCGCATGTACATTGTTGCTTAATCTATAAACCTTGTGTCCGTTTATTGTTTTCATCTTAAAGACTGCTATTATTCCCTACTGTTCTCACACTGATGCCAAACCAGAGAGTCTGCGTTGTAATTGTATATCCTATCTTTTCATCCAATCTAGCCACTTGAAGCAGTGCGTTCTCAGCAGCTATTATACAAGCCTCATGTCATTTCCATCAACAATGAGCGGTGACACTGGTGACCTCAGTCACTCATTCTCCTTTTTCTCTGCCCACCACTGCTTTCACTCTCTCTCCTGCTCATTTTCCCCCACCTCCTTTTCTCTCTCTCTCAATGCTAGCTAATATTTTAATGCCGCTCCTTTTCGGCTCTCTATCAATGCTCCCCAGCACTGATAATGCAGACTGACAGGTCAGCCGTGTGCAGTTGAGAGAAGAGAGAGCAGTACAGTGGAGGAGAGCAGAGGGTAGAAAAAGAAGGCTTTTAGGATTTCTTTTGGCTTTAATGTGAGCAAAGCAAATGAATGACATAGTGATACAGGGAGTTAAGCCGAAGAATAAGGACACTGAAGGGTGGAACATTTCACACTGAAGAAGTGTCAGGATAAAAGCAATGCGAGTGAATAAGATTTAGTGTAGCTGAGAGGCAGGCTACAGCATGACCTTGAAATAATGAAGTGCTACATATGGTCAATTTTCTCTTCAGACAAGTAAAAAGCAGCTATTCAGACAGGTTTAAATTTGATCTAAATGGGTATAATTAGCATATGTAAATGTTCTAATAATTTAGTTTTATGATATATTATAGCTGTAATACTACAGTAATGGATGGAGCAGAAAAAACATGCACTTATAATACGCGTTACACCTTCTAATGATGTGTTAATTGTATTCGCTATGGAGGAGTTGTCGTTTCAATCTTTTCTCTCCACTCTGATCAGTCAGAGAGAAATGAGCCTGGCAGAAATCCTTGAGCTGTCACCGTGTGATTGACAGATCCATTGCCTCATGTGACAAGTATCTGGTTAGAGCACATCTGATCTTTGGACGGAGCTAAAATGCTGAGCATCAACCTCTGACAGGCAGGACAAATGGCACTCTTGCTCTGGACTGCTGTCACATTTTTAAATGCAAGAGGTTGAACTCGTCCTTCTCTTACACACACACACACACAAAAACACTCGCGCACACATTTTGCTTACACTTGTGCTTTAGTATGCCAGTTATGTTACTCAAGTGCTCATAAAGCAAAAAAATCCATTATAAGTTTATAACCAGCCAGGCTGAATTAATTCAGTCACAGTCCTATCTGTTTTCCTCATATTGCCTGTACCTGCCTTAGAGTTTCAGGCCTAAAGAGCGCTGTCAGGCAAACTGGACCAGCCATAACCTTATTTACTCTGTAACTGTGTCTGCAAACATCCAAATTCCCATCTAACATGACATAGACCGTCCTTACTCAGCACTAGGCTGAAGCCCATGCAAAAATCCCTGGAGGGTTAAAGATAACATGGGAGAGGTTTTATTAATAATCCAATCTCAGTGTGTACAGCTAGGGCAGTTTGGTCAGAAGCATGGACTTCGTACTATTTCATGATCCATTTTTTGAGGCGTTTATATTGAAGCTTACACTTGCAGCATTTTTATTCAGAGTTTACATTCATACCTCCTCTGGCCAAAACACACATTCACATTCAGCAAGTGAGTAATGTAAACTCATGTTGGTTGCAAAGGCATCGTGGGCTCAGAGGGAGTGCATAGCTTTTGTACAGAGGGGACTATTGTTCTCTGTTAAGTCTGTGCGTGTAATTGTACACTCCGTCCTCTGATAGCTTCCGGCCATCAGGTGGAGTGAGAGCTCCACTGACTCACCTGGTTCATTACCTGAGGCCTGAGGTGCAGTTTGTATTCCCCTCCCCCTCCTCCTCGTCTGTACACTAAGGGGGGAAAGATGAAAAGCAGGAGTGGGCGTGGGGTGAAAGTTGTCCTAGCTGCTAGGGCGTGTCACCAAACAGGTACATAGAAAGTAGGAGAGAAAAAGAGGCACATACAGACAAAGAAAGACTGAAAAGGAGCAGGATATGAAGCTGAGTGGCTCTCAGGGGACGACTTCCTAGTAACCTGTTTGGGGTGGAGCCTCAGCAAGCAGGGCTGGGAGCGGCCGGGCTGTGGTAGCGCATTGTGTGTGTTGGTTTCAATGGTGTGCGCCCTGCTCTGTACGTATATGTGTGTGCGTTCCTTTTTTTTTTTTTTCACCTGCTATGAGAGCTCACACCACAGTTGACAGTGGAGCCGAGGGGAGCCTGTGCAGAGGAGGACATGAGGTCCGAGAAGGAGGAGGGGAAGGCCGGTGAGTGATAGAGAAGGAGATGGTGCTTGTGAGTGTTGGAGCAATAGTGTAGGCCATAAAAATGGCTTGAGACTAAGGTGTGTGAGAAGGTTCAAGTTCAAATTATGTATGTAATTGCATGAAGTAATTTGTGATACATATGCAGTGGTGGCTGAAGCAGTACTTTACGTTTTATACCACTGTACACCTCTACCATAGTACATTTTAGAGGGAAATCTTGTACTTTTTACTCAAATTATATAATCAGTTAATGAAATAAAGAAGTAGGGCTGCAACTAATGCTTGCATTTATTAGGGATTGATCTAACTGTCTGTAAATAGTCAGCAAATAGTGAAAAATGCATATAGCCCAAGCTAATGTCTTTAACCTGTCTTGTTTTCTCAGACAAACAGCCCAAAACTGAGAGACATTCAATTTGCTTTCATAGAAAACTAAGAAATAAGGTAGGACGAGATAACTTTTGCCTTTTTGTGTAAAAAGCCACGAAAACACTTTTTTCATGTATCAAAAAAGCTGGCAATTAGATTTCTGACAATCGGCTCTAATGTGAAGTAGTCAAAATTGGCCCAACCTCAACTAGCTCTTACAGTACATCTTAATGTATCAATAATAATACTAATAGTACAATAAAATGTTATGAGATATACAGCAATTGTCTAACACATTGAAAAAGGTCCATTCTACATAATAAATATTTTTACGATGCTTTTTATGTTTATGAAGTTTATGTTGCTGAAATACTACTATTATTATTAGTATTGTGCTTTAGTAAAATTATATGTACTGGACTTTTACTTTTAATGTAATATTTTTACATGGTGTTACTTTTCACCATGATGCAGTCAAGCCCGAAATTATTCATACACCTGGCAAATTCTGACTTAAAGTTACTTTTATTCAACCAGCAAGTTGTTTCTTGATTAGAAATGACACAGGCGTCTCCCAGAAGATAATAAGACGATGTACAAGAGGCATCATTGTGGAAAAAATTTTAAATTTTAAACTTATTTACATTTGAACAAAAAGTGGCATGTCCAAGATTATTCATACCCATCTCAATAATCAATCAAAAAGCCTTTATTGGCTATCACCCTGATCTTTAGCTCCCTCCACAGATGCTCAATGAGATTTAAGTCAGGACTCTGGCTGGGCCACTGCAAAACATTAATGTTTTTGTCTACTAACCATTTCTTCACCATTTCTTGTGTTTTGGGTCATTGTCGTGCTAAAATGTCCACTGGTCCCCAAGGCCAAATTTCTCTGCAGACTGCCTGATGTTTTGCTCCTTTTTCATGGTGCCGTTTACTGTGATTAGGTTCCCTGGTCCACTGGCTGAAAAACAACCCCAAAACATTAGGTTCCCACCACCATGTTTGACAGTGGGGGTGGTGTTCTTAGGGTTGAAGGTTTCTCCTTTTTTACGCCAAATGAAGGCTAAATCATTGTGGCCAAACAATTCAATTTTTGTTTCATCTGACCATAAAACAGAAGACCAGAAGTCTTCTTAGTCCAGATGAGCATTTGCAAAGGCCAAGTGGGCTTTTGTGTGCCTTATCTGGAGAAGTGGTGTCCCCCTTGGTCTGTGTCCGTTGAACCCAGCGGTGTGCAGTGTCCGTTGGACTGTCTGCCCTGAGATGTTGCCACCAGCAGAGCCCAGATTCATCGGGATGGCCTTGGTGGTGATCCTTGGATTCTTTTTTACCTCTCTCACTATCCTCCTGGCCAGCACAGGTGTCACTTTTTTAAATAATACTTTGCACTGTAGCCACTGGAACTTCAAAACATTTAGAAATGGTCTTATAGCCCTTTTCTGACTTGTGGCCAGCTACAATGCGCAGCCGCAGGTCCTCAGTGAGCTCCTTTGTCTTAGCCATGACTGTCGACAAACCAACACCAGAGAGCTTCTGATTTTCACATGATGAGTTGATTAACACAGCTGTTCCCAGTGACTCAGGGTAATTAGGATGCTTTAGACTATTTGGAATGGTATAGATCTTTGGATTTTCCCATAGACTGTGACAGTTTGCAAAGGGTACGAATAATTTTGGACATGCCACTTTTTGTTCAAATGTAAATAAAAGATGAGTAGTTTTTCCACAATGATGCC